CCCCCCCCCCCAATCTAAAGCCCAATCGGTGCATGAAACGACTTACGTGAAGGCCTTCCTGGTAATACCCGCTCTTCAAGCAGGAGCTGCAAATCCAGGAAGACACACACACACACACACACACACACACAAACACGCACACCTGGATTGTATACCAACATGCCTGGGCCAGCCTGAAGTCAAAAGATAAAATTAAAAGTATAACTCTACATTGGAAGGTGACCCAACCCAGTTTTAGGTAGATGTTGAAAAGGAGGAGAGTAGAATCCTGTGGTGCCCTACACAGGGGTGTCTAGTGAGTGATCTCCCCCCAGCCAACTTGAGCCTGCCCTAGAAAAAGAAGAAAAACTCCTGTGTAATTGTGGCCCCGATCCCCAGCTTGGAAGGACGGGAGCATAGGTCAGGGCTCTGTTGGTCTTATGTCTTGCAGGAATTTGGAGGGCATCCGAACATCATTCAGCTCCTGAATGTCATCCGGGCTCAAAATGACAAGGACATTTATCTGGTTTTCGAATCCATGGGTGAGCTCTTCCCAGCTTCCCATGAGAGAGGGAGGAAGGCAGGCAGCCAGCACTACAGAAGTCTGTCCAGCTGGGTTCGAATTCTAGAAGTTTGCTTGTTTTTAAATATTTATTGCATTTTCATTTATAGTTATTTACATTGTTGTAAACACTTTGGGAGTGTTGTTTCCTGAAAGTAGGGATATAAAATAATTGTAATAAATGAATAAAATTCTAGGAACTAAGGGAGTCAGTTGCCAGGAATTAACACTGCCTCAAAGGTAGCTAAATAAATAAATAAATAAATAAATAAATAAATAAATAAATAAATAAATAAATAAATAAATAAATAAATAAATAAATGCAAATTTGTAAATGCTATTTCAAATGAAAGCTTGAATGGAAGATAAACTTGTGAGGTGACTTGCAAGACAAGGGTCTTGGGGTGATTTAAATTGTTCGGCAATTTGCAGAGTTATTTCAAGGTAATAAAAATGTGTTAATAATGGAAGTATATAGAAGAATCCTTTAGCAGGTTAGGATTTATAATGGGAACTTATGCTCTGCCAATAGGAAACCTGAAAATTAAAGCCAAATCTCTCATTCCACAATGTTTGTGATGTATTCTGCTCAGTGCTAGTGAAGTGTTTTGGCCTTCAGCACCCTTGGAACAACGGCTAGGTATTGCAAGCATGATGCAACACATTCATTGCTGCTTTTATGTCCCCTGTTTCAGAAACAGACTTGCATGCAGTGATCAAGAAGGGAAATTTACTGAAAGACATTCATAAGTGCTACATTCTGTACCAGCTCTTGAAAGCCACCAAATTTATCCACTCGGGAAATGTTATTCACAGGGACCAGAAGGTATTAATTTTATTTATTTATCAAATTTAAGCCCTCCTTCCAACTTCTTGATGACTCTAGGCATTTAGAAATAAAAAGACAAAGGACTTTTTAAAAAAAGACACAGGTGACCAGAAGGACAGAACATTAGCCACAATCAGCCACTCTACATCCAGGCACTTGGCTAGGATTTTGGCCACATCCCTTGGCCAGCCGTACACAACTGGGGTAACATCCCGATAGTCTCACTTCTCATCCAGCCCTTTCCAAAGGCTTCACCCAAAGGCTCCACGCGCATGTTAAGGAGGCAGTAGCAAAGCCTGAGCAAAGGCACCATCGCTCCACACCTGTCGGCAGCGACTGAAGGTAGCCAGGGAGAAATGAGAAGAAATGGCATAAAGCTCCTGGCCTCAAACCCCAAAGCTGATTCAGAAGGAATCAAATGCCCCTGAGAGATCAAGGAGGCATCAGGAGGGATATCAGATCGTGAACATCATTTTATTGGAAGTTTATTGATGATAGAATAGAATAGAATTTTTTATTGGACACACAAGGAATTTGTCTTTGGTGCAGATGCTCTCAGTGTACACAAAAAGACAAGATACATTCATCAATAATCATAAGATACAACACTTAATGATAATCATAGGGTACAATAAGCAATCAGGAAACAGTAAATGTCAATCATAAGGATACAAGCAACAAAGTTACAATCCTGCAGTCATAGGTGGGAGGAGATGGGTGATAGGAACAATGAGAAGACTAAGAGTAATAGTAATGCAGCCTTAGTGAATAGTTTAACAGTGGTGAGTGGTGACAGTGGCTTTTATACTGAATCCTGGCTTGAA